ACCCAGCACAGGATCTTGCCCAGTAATTCTCCCAGGCAGGCCAGTGTTAGCAGCAGAGATGGAGAGGGTGGTAGGAGACCACTCCACTTGCCTTCTGAAGCCTGAGAAGGAATATAAACCTCATTTAGCTCAGAGGCTCACTGATAGAATTCCCTTAGGGAAGAGATGTCTTGAGGYAGTCATTCCCACAAATACAGGAATGTCATACCCTGCCTCAGGAGCTCATGCTGTGCCACAGTGACATGACACAGCTGGGTGAAGCCAGCAGGGCAGTGGGCACTGGGTGTCTCCCGTGGACTCATGCACATAGCAGGACGATGTCCAAGATGCTCTGCGGCCCCAAAGGTGCCATTGTGGTGCCACAGGCTTCAGGCTCATCCCTTCATTGCTGCTTTGGCTGTAGCTCATCTATGAAGGAGCTTTTCCACAAGGCATTTCATCCACTCCAGGMTGTGGCACTTGGAGAATGGTCCTGGCATGAACTGTGATGGGGGAGGCTTTGCTGTCCTGATCAAAACCCTTTCACTCTTCTCCTGGCCCTGCATGTGTGAGCGTTGCCTCAAAATCTCACATGGGATTGCTGGAATGCCAACGAGAGGAGGGAAGGAGAACTGKTGCTGGGACACAGCCAGAAGGCACAGCACTGTCCCACAGATAAGGCAGCAGCTGGCTCTGCTGATGTGCTGGGGACAGAGGCTCTCCCAGTTCTCTGGCACTGACCATGAATCCCAGCTTTATTCTGGAATTTGGTTCCTAGATGAAATATTCATGGCAAAAGTCGTCTAGTGGGGAGGTGAGCGTGCAGTCCGTGGTGCTGCCTGACAAGTGCAGAGCCCCGTGTGTGCAGTTCTCCTGCAGTCCCAAAATGTGCAGGGAACAGGCAAATCCCAAATGGTCCTCTGCAGCCCTYCACGTGCAGCAGGCTGTGCCCACAGCCAGGCTGGTGTCCCCATCTTTGCATTTAACAGCTCTTCTTGGTACTTTGATCTGTGAATTCTCCATATTTTTAATGAGTTTCTGTAGCTTTAACATATCTCACCTCTCCTAAGCTGAAGAATTCTTGTTCACTTAATCATTTTTAAAAAAATCTCTGTTTAAGATGGGGTAAGCAGGACTCCTTGTAATAGTCGAGATATTGACACACTGCAGCTTTATCTGGTAGATTTTAATTTTTCATTTGTTTTTTACAGTAATGCCTGTTTGCTTTCTGTCTGCTTTGGATGATTCAACAACGGTTTCCATAAAACTCCCCACAGTGACTCCAAGCCCTTTCCTGTTCATTAACAGCTCACCTAGAGCTCATCCTTGTGTAAAATACCTGGATAAATTTTTCATATTTGCATATTTTGATATCTTGTATCACTCCATCACTCAGTATCATGAGAACCTTTTCCAAGTGGTTTGTGAATATTTGGACAACACAATTTGCCTTGGGACTGTCCTGGTGAGTTCATTGTAAAAGCTGCCCTGCTTTTTTTCTCTTTTTGGTTCTGAASRTCATAGAACCATGGAATGGTTTGGGTTGGAAGAGACCTTAAAGCCCATCTCATCACCCGCCCTGCCATGGCAKGGACACCTCCCACTGTCCCAGGCTGCTCCMAGCYCCAATGTCCAGCCTGGCCTTGGGCACTGCCAGGGATCCAGGGGCAGCCACAGCTGCTCTGKGCACCCTGTGCCAGGGYCTSYCCACCCTCCCAGGGAACAATTCCKTCCCAATATCCCATCCATCCCTGYCMYCTGGCAGTGGGGAGCCATTCCCCCTTACCCTGTTCCTCAAGGGTCCCAAGTCCCTCTTCCTGGGCAATACTGCAGAATATTCCATCGTCTTCCATAGCCTTGACCCCGGAGGAGAACAGGAGAGGAGACACCAGAGTCTGGCATTGATGGAACTGCCTTTATTCCCACACTCACTGACTGCTTTTAGGAACCCTGTGGCTCTGTGAACCATCCCTTTCCTTCTCCAAAGTGCTGTTAATTCTTCCTTTCTCTTCATTAGCCTGTTTTTTTTAACCTGGCGTTTCTTTCTGGCAGGGAAGTCAGGATTATCTGCCAAATCTGCCATTCTCTGCATCACTCTCAGCTTCTTCAAATGCAGTTTGGTATTTGTTACCTGCAGTTTTTCTGGGATTGTGGTCAAGGTAGTGAAGAGTTTAGTCCAGGATTTTTCTCCAGCCCTTTGTGGAACACTCTCTTGTCCTGTTCTCTTCCCCTTTTCCATGCCAGCCTTACAGGTTGGTTATAACATTTTTCCAGCTACTTCAGATCAGATCAAATTTTGATTCATCCCCCATGAAGGAAGCATGGTAAGTGCTCTGAGTTCCCTTACAGGGAAAACTGAGTACTTTCTCYTGAGTCCTTTTTCAGCCCTTGTCCCTCAGGACTCATTGGTGAACAGAAACAGAAATATTTAAAGAATCCTTGGGGAGAAAACTTCCCCCCATGAATAACCTCTTTTCCATGGGTATGGTTGATTCAGTGACAATTAATGGGCTCAGACTGGAGCAGAACAGACTCCAGTGAGGYACTGGGAGACACTGTCAAGTGTGGAGGAGAGGGAGTCTTCCAGTGGGTGAGGAGTCCCCCTTTTTGGAGGTCTTGAAAACAGGTTGAGCAAGTGTTTCTGAGGAATGTTTTAGGCCTGGCTGATCCTGCCTTCAGGCAGCAGAGTGGGCTAGATGACCTCTCAGGATCACCTTCTTTCCCTCCTGATTGATACATAAAGCTCCYAAGTGGGAATTGGGCACCTCTCCACAGCAGATTCCCCAGGACCTTTCCCTGTTTCTGCTGCTCAGCCTGAGTGTGATGCTGGGAGGGATGGGTTGGTGTGGAAGTGGTGGATCCAGTGGGAATAAAGTACRAAAGGTGGCAAGGGGCAGTTAAAAAGGTGAAGTTCAGTATTTTAGGAGTGGCACTATGGGGAGAAAAGGTAGAAAATACAGAGAAGCCATAGGATAAGGAAACGGGAAAGCAAATGGGTGATAGTAAGAAGATAGGGATGAGGAGGAGCTCTGCATCTTCCTTGAAGGGGTGACAGGAAGGATGTGGGGACAGAGACAGATGGAGTGACAAAGCCAGGGGATCACAGGCTGACAGTGTCTTACCCAGGCCAGAGTGTGGCCAGAGCTGCAGGCTTGGATCACTCAACAGTGGTTCCAAACCCTGCCAGCTAATCCCAGGAGCACAGAGCCAGCAGGGACWGTCCTGGAGAAGGATCTGGCAGGGCAGCAATGTGAATTCCACCTGGGACCCCCAGCTGGAGCAGCACTGTGGGGTCCAGCATAACAACACTGAAGTGACTCTGCTGACCTGGAGCCCCTGGGAGCAGGGAATCCTGGATTAGGACTGTGGTGGGATTTAGGCAGCATGCACGAAGCCTCTCTGATTTTGGATATGAACATACCTCCTCTCTCCAGCAATGGGATTTTTTATCTCATAGCTCAGAAAAGGTTCTGTAAGGAGCAGTGGCTCCATGGCTGTGGCAGTCAGAGCTGCAGAGRTGCCCAGCCCAGCAGAGAGGAGGATGCTCTGCCTGGGGGCCCATCTGCAGCCACAGATCCAGGAGGGAGCAAGGGATCCTGACTCTGCAGCCACAGTCACACAAGGTGTATGAGAAGTCAAATTATACTTGTTTTTCTGCATCATCCTTAGATTATTATTTGAGTCTGCTCTTGTCCTGTGAGCATGATGTGCAGCCAGAATCCCTCACTCATAATGCCTGGGATGGAGCGGTGGAATTGCCAAGAAATGCTGTTGTAGGATGTAGAAAATAAGAGTCAGGTCTTGCTGCTGTTCTGCTGCTGGAGCAATGAAGAGGAGAAGGAGCTGGTGGGAAGAGAGAAGAGATGGTGTGGAGCAGAGATGAGTGGGGTGTGCGGCTGTGTCCCTGCCCCAGGAACCCCCTGAGCTGCCCCTGGGCACTGCGGGGTGCTGAGCAGGCTCCCAGGCTCAGCCTCCAACCTGATCTGTGTCTGGTGGGGGCCTGGCACTGAATAACCACTGCCACAGCTCTGTGACAGCTGCCCACGTGGGAAGGGTCTCAGGTGCAGGGACCAGCATTCCTCAGCAGGGCTTCTCCAGGATTATTATCTGTGTCTTACTCGAGAGCAGCTGCCAGCATTTTCCATATGCTCCCCAYACAAATTTGGAGCTGCAGAAGCTTGGCCCATTGCTCATATTCCTGGTGTTCATCATTAATCACGGAATCATRAAATGGTTTGGGTTGGGTTGGTTTTGACAAAAGGATGTGAACTTTTATTTTAAAATAGTTCAAATTTTACTGAGATACTCTGCTTTTACTTTTGTTTTAAGCAGATCCAGTYGTGATTAGGAGCTGAATACAAACTCATAGCCACAGACATTTGCATTAGACATTAGAACTCGTTGGTCTCCATGCAGTGATTTTAGGATTTGATGATTTTAACTCACTTTCATGGTTTTGCTAGATCTGTTCTTGTTTGATGCYCAAGACTTGGTGCTACCAAAAGCAGCTCTGTGGCTTTGTGGTGCCTCCAAACTCTGCAGAGCCAGTGCTTGTGGATGTGAAGTTGGTGCTGGTTTGTATCACTGCACAGGMAGCAAAAATCCCTCCCCTGGCATTGTAAGCAGCATTTCTGGCACTTTTCTAACAGGTATAACCCCGGGATTGAGGGGGAATGTCTGCCAGCCACCTTCCTGGGCAGCCCAGTGCCAGCAGGACCAGTGGGGCACAGCTTGGGGGCACAGCTGTGGTTTCCATTTCCACAGAGTCCAGCCAGGCTGGGGGGACACTGTGGTGATTGAAGTAGCTGTGGAGACACCCAGCATGTGCAGTGACTGTTTTTTTTGTGGCATTCAAAGCCTCATTGGCTCGGGCAGGGCCATGGGATGTAGTGGTGTTGTGGTGCCCAGCAACAGGGGTCCTACACCTCTGGGCAGGTCCAGAGGGTTTGCAGGATGGGCTTGAGCCCCCTTTGCAGTGCTGAGCCCCAGGATCTGAGTATCCCCTTGCTTTTGTCCCACAGTCCCACCCTCTGTCCCTGTGCAACACCAGCGAGGATGAACACACGGAATCGGGATTCATCACCATCGTCAAGCTGGAGCAGCCRGATCGGGATCCCAACCCCTGTCTGTCCCTGGCTAACAAGGTAAGTGCAAAAATTCCTGGAATGGCGCGAGCCTGGGAATTGCAACCTGGGGTGCAGCAAAGAAAAGGGCAGGAAGAGGCAGCAAGGTGGGAAAGCTGTTGGGAAGCAGAGAAAAGAACAAGGACAGAGCAAGGTCCTTGACAGAAGGGGTCCTATGGGAGAGGTGCTGAGCCAGCCATCCCAAACRCCCATCCCTCCACCTTTTGGACTGCCTGACTTTGTAAAAGGTGTGGAGTTCCCCCTAACCTGGGATGCTCAGACCTTACCCCAAAGTCCCACTCTTTGCTGCCTGGCAGCCTCATACCCTTCCTGTTTYACAGCCTCACATTGCTCCCTGGCCTGTGAGGGGATTTGTGTTTCTCTGTGTTCCCCAGCCTGTGGGAAAACATGGACACACAAAACATCTTGTGTGGCCSTGTTTCCAAAAGTAATGCTGCAGTACCTCACTGGATGAGGCATGAGAGGAGTCAGTGCTGAGCAATGAGATAAATGCAGACCAGCTGAACAAGTGGTGGGTCATGACTCCTTAACAGCTCGGGCCCTGGGAGATCTCAGAGGTCCTTGGATCAGGCACCTCAGTGAAACAGCAGTTCTTGTGCCAAACGCTGAGGTCACTGGTCCAATTCTCTGGTAATAAGGAAGTYAGGTAAGAACGAGGGTCATTTTAAGAAATCTTTGTGACTGATAAGGTTTTATGGATAAGGATGGCATTGGCTTTTTCTTTTGATTGTCTTTGTACCAACACTGTTTTCCACAAGCGTTGTACAAGCATGAAAACCCCCTTGTTTAGCTTTTCTTGGCTTTACCTGGATTGTCTTCAGGTGATTTCACCCTGTTGCGTTCTTCCTGCTGGAAGTGACCTAGTGGGAATGAGGACAGGGTCCTTTTCCATGTCCCCTGCAGCTTGGCTGGAGGGCAGGCAAAACTCAAACCCAGTGCTTGCTCCTTTACAGCAGGGTTTTTTCACAAAGGCTGTGGCAACAAAAGCAAGGAAAGGGTTGTGATGCCATGCTGGATTTGCCATCCCAGGGCTGGTTTCCCTGGCTGCACTGGCAGCCAGACAGCAGTGCTTATCCATTCCTGGGTTGCCCAGCCCACATTTGGGTTTCTGCTGCTCTGGAGCTGGTGCCAGCTGTTGGCACGAGCCAGTGTGAGGGAGTTGTCAACCTGCTGTCAGTTCCCCCCGCCTGGAAAATGTCCTGGGCTCACCTGGCAGCTTGTGACAGACCTGAGGAAAAGGGCTGGGCAGGTGCCTCCAGCTCTCCCATGTCCATCCAGACATGACCGTCACATGACAGTGGTGCCAGGATGCCCCAGGAGTTGGGGCAGGGCAGCAGTGGCTCTTTGGTCAGTGCAGCTGCTGYAGAGGATCATGAACACAAGGAAGGGGCAGCTGCAAAGGGCCATCTTCCATTTCAGAACCTTAAAAAGTTTCAAAACTTAGGCCGTGTTGGATRGGGCTTGGAGCAGTCTRGTCTGGTGGAAGGTATCCCTGCCCATGGCAGGGGTTGGAATRAGATGAGCTGTAAGGTCCTTTTCCAGCCCAAACCATTCTRGGGTTTTGGGATTCCAGGTTTTGTCCTTCATCTTGGAGGCTGATCACAGCACTGGAAGTACCAATGTGTCCCCGACCCCCAGGATCAGCTGAGCAAGGTTGGCACAGGGGGTACCAGACACGGTGCAYTGCTGCCCCTCTGCCCACCCACCTTGATCCCTTCTCCAGGACCACTAAAGGCCCCAAAGCAAACAAACMCCTCAGTTCACTTGTTGGCCTGGCAGTGCACTGGCCACCAGTCATCACTTCCCTGTTACCAGAGCCAAATCCAGCAATGGATTTTGAGCTCCAGCTGCCATCCTGAAGGTGTTCCTGCTCTCAGATCTCACCCGGGAAGGCTCACAGTTCCTCTCTCACAAGCAGGAGTAGTTAAGCCATGAAATACAACAGATGCTCCTTAAGCTGGCCATATCCCTGAACTCTGCCTTGKATCTTGGATCCTGCACCCCCTGCAATTCCTGCCTGTCTGCCTCTCCATCCTTCTGAACCCTCTGCCAAGCTTCTTCCCTCCAACATCATACAGATCAAAGAATCACAGAATCACAGACTGGGATTGCAAGGGACCTTTCCAAGCCTCTACCATGGGCAGGAATGCCAAGATCTTTTCTTCAAAATCCCAGGACCTCAGGAGCACAGTATTGCTCTGGGATGTTGCTGGTGCTGGCTGGAGCAGGAGSCTCCTTTTCCTGGCAAGTGTGTCTTTGGGCAGAGCTTTGCATGTGGAATTGCAGCACTGTATCAATGATGATAAAAATAGCCATGTGCAGAGTGTTATCACAATCTCTACTTCAGCTGTCACCCAGCCAAGCCCTGCACACGGACAGCCMTGGCCAGCCCAGCACGAGGAGAACTCCCAACAGCCACCTGAGGCATTTCCCTGCTTCCTAAATTCTATCACTGCTTCAGCATCCAAAGCTCAAACCAGCAGGGAAGGCATTGAAGGAGAGGAGGGCATGGGAAGGACCTCTGCAATAAATCCAAAGTAATTAATTTTTGTTCCTAATTTCCATTAGTAATTTTTTGGTGGCTTTTTTTTTTATTTCTGAGTGAAGCAGTGATTGCAAGTCTGATTGACAGACTGCTGAAGCCTCCAAAATCATAGTGTAAATACATATTTGCACCAGAAGGGTTTCAGTTCTCAAAGAGGGAGCTTGGCTGTGCCATGTAGCTGACAAGATTCAGCACAAAGACAGCAAGCACTGAGAAAATAGTTGCAGCAAACAGGTTGTGAAAGGCTTCAACAGAATCATAGAATAACCTGTGTTGGAGGAGACCCACAGCAATCATGGAGTCCAGGTCCTGGTCCTGCCCAGACCGTCCAACAATCCCACTATGATCCTGAGAGCCTTGTCCAAACGCTCCTGGAGTTCTGGCAGCCTCGGGGCTGGGACCATTCCCTGGGGAGCCTGGGCAGTGTCAGCACCCTTTGGGGACAGAAGAACCTTCCCCTGATCTCCAGCCTGACCCTACCCTGGCCCAGCTCCAGCTGTTCCCTGGGCTCTGTCTCTGGTCACCAGAAGTTGTGTCCTTTKCAACAGGAATCAGAAGGTTGTTGGGAAAAGTCACTTGTCCAGTCCCAGTTGTTCACTGCCCCAYAGTCAGTGTCTTTAGCAGATAAAGTCTTTGTAGAGCTGTTTGTTGTTCATCCAAGCCTGACTGTCAGGTGGAAGTCAMTCCCTGAGAGTCCTCTTCAGTATTAGCAAACACTGAGGCTCCTTTGATCCCAGTCTCTGATCCCTGTCCCAAGCCTTGATCCCACTTTTCCAGCTTCCCCATGAGTGTCAAACCCTATCAGCAGCTCTGAATCTCCACCACTGCCTCTTCCAAAGTACATGCATTTCCATTCCCATCCCTATCTCCAGAGTCAGGCTGAGGTGCCCTGGGAGCAAGGGATGGAGCTGATCCTGCTCTGCCGTGCCGGGAATGCCCCATCCCTTGGCTCGGCAAAGCCCTTTCCCTCGGCTCAGCAATGCCCCATCCTTTGGCTCAGAGATGCCCCATCCCTTAGCTCAGCCCTGCCCCATCCCTTGGCTCAGCGATGCCCCATCCCTTAGCTCAGCCCTGCCCCATCCCTTGTCTCAGCAATGCCCCATCCTTTGGCTCAGAGATGCCCCATCCCTTGTCTCAGCAATGCCCCATCCCTTGGCTCAGCGATGCCCCATCCCTTGGCTCAGCAATGCCCCATCCCTTGGCTCGGCAATGCCCCATCCCTTGGCTC